AAGGCGTGGCGCCGTGGGAGATCCCGACGACGATGGCCACGTACGCTCGGACCGGCGCCATGTACGTGACGCTCGTCGTGCTTTCGATCGCGGTCTTGGCGTGCGTCTACATCATCGCATCGAGAGGGTATGCCGAGGGCATGAACATGCTCGAGCTCAGTCGCGTCGGTGGCATCGTCTGGGTCGGTCGCCCGCTGCTCTTTCTGCGATCGCTTACCGCCATGGCCGTGCTCTGCACCGGGTCGCTGGACCTCCAAGTGGTTGGCAGTATGAGCTACCTTCACTCGACCGACGTGCCGTGGTACAAGACGTGTCTTGCGGCGAGCGAAGTCTCTTGGCTTGTCGCGATTGTCAACGACGTCTTGATGATCTGGACCAAAGAGCACACAGCGCTCTACGTGACGCCCAACGGGCTTCTCGTGACAGGCGTGACGGCGCTGCTGAGTACGTTGTCGCCCGTGACGCACACGGCGTCACTCGGCCACACGTGTGCGATTGCTGAAGTCGACTTTCAGATGGTGTGCAGTGGCGGCGAGGTCGTCATTGGTGTCTGGGAACGCGTCGCGCTGCTCGTGCTGCTGGTCGGCGTTCTGAACGTCGTGACGTTTGGGCTCATGCGCTGGCTCGTGCGCAAGCCGCCAAAGAACCGCGCCGAGTCGCTCTTGCTCTACGCTGGCGCCAAGTATCTCTTTCTGAGCACCAAGTGGATTTACAAAGACGTCTACTACCTCGACCGCGCGTCTGCTGCGCTCAACGGGCTCGTGTCCGTGCGCTACAACGGGATCTATTACGGCCTCGACATCAAAACGTGGCGGACGTTTACGCTCACACGACCCAACGTGGCAGAGATACCGTCGACGCACGCACTGTTTACGCCGGCGATGTACGCACTGCCGTTGGACAACTTGTCTGCGGTTGACCAAGCGATCAAGAAGAGCCAACTTGTGCATGTAAAATCCAAGGCAACCTCGGGCACAAGTCGAGGCGCCACATAAGAGCCAACTCGTGCCTCATTCGGTGATTGTTGATCGAGGATCCTATAGCGCACAGTCGAGTAGGAACGATGTGCATTAGAGCATTGTATATGCCAACGTATTGGTGGTTATACTATTACATGTTTTAGAGATTCGCTGTCCCCGACTTTGCCCATTGCGCTCTGCCCAGGAGCCGGTCGTACGGTGACGGCTCGAGTAATAACCGGTTAGTCTGCATGGCGTATCCGCTGGCCGGTTAGTAAACACATGTCCAACTGGTGTCGATGCCCTTGCTCTTAGGGCTCCACCATGGGGCTCCACACCGGTTGGTATTTAGTCGTATTATTAATACTACTTAACTGTCGTACTAGTACTTCGTATTAATAAGTCTTTTATTACATCACAAATATCTATTTTCACTCAACTCTTATCCGGATACAAGACGCAGCACGCCATGCCAAGCTGCCACGTCACGGAGGTTCACCCTGTGTATTGTCAACAGCATCGCCGCCACTACATACGAGGGTTTGCTCGCCAAGCACGTACACGCTGCTGCACAGCAAGGTGTCGGCAGTAGTGGAGCTTGACCGACAAGATCATCGCTTCGACAGCCCAGATGGGGTGGCCGATCAGCAATGGTCCGGAGTACCATATATAAAGCCCACAGGGCTAAACTATGCCCACTGTCTTGCATCCTTTGCTGTGGAAATGCCGGTTGGTGGTCGCGCCGCTCTTTGCACCCAATGCCTCGGGCCCATCGAGTACACTGGTGGTCGTCAACAAGATGAGACGACATTGGCCCTCCCGCGCATTCGCCTTGCGGAGCTCTCGCCCTGACCGTTGCGAATTCGCGGATAGAGTCGAGTCCCAGTCAATCTTGGGCGCATCTAGATTGCAAATTGCATGTGTATCACAACTGCATTCCCTTGATAGCACTAGGTTGAGATACACTGCAATTTATACTGGTAGGAACCTCTGGTTACACCAGCCCAGGGGGGATTAATTGTCTGTCTGTCCGTCTCCGTGTCCACGACTGCAGTGATTGGTAGAAATTGTGTCCGCGGCTGCAGTGATTGGTCGAAATTCTAAAGATACCTTCTTCGCGGCGTGTCGCTGAACCTCTTTCCCATTGGTCAAAACTCCCTGATACAACCGATGTGTCCTACTCTTGTACCATCTTGGCGCCATGTCGCTCGAGCTCTGTGGTGTTGCGCTCTGTGGCGTTGCG